CATCATCGATGATAGTATTAGTTTTAGGCAATAATAAAGCTCATGACGCATATATGCGTCGTCGGTAACCAAAGGGTTAATAGATCGAAATATCGAATTATAATTTTAATGTTTTAGTTTTAATTGTTTAATTTTTATTTTTATTATTTGATTAAAACTTTTTATTAAAATTCTTAATATGATAGCCGCATTAGTTTTAAAATTTTTATTCTTAACTTTGCCCGTAAACTCGAAAAACGTTTTTGTTCTGAATCTTCGATCAATATTTGGAATTTGAATCTCGTATTTAAATTTCTTCGCTTGAAGTGGACATAGAGATATATCGTTATCAATTGGTGACTCCCACGTTTTTAAATATATATCAACAAAAGAATGGATCGATAATTCTGATTTTGATTCCGATACGATAAATTTGGAAAATACAACAACAACAATAACATTACCATCGTCAGAACAAGAACCGAGACGAGAAATTTTCATTGAGAATAAAGAAATTTTACAGGGGTGTGAAGTCATTTCAGACTGTGAAATCATATCAAATAAAGAATGTTTCGACGATGAATTATCCGAAAATCAACAACAACCCACTTCTCAACCAACAGCTTTTACAGTTGTGATTCCACCACCATCATCGCCTAGAACATCTCTATTGTTTAATGGTTATAATTCGAAAGCGTATAAAACTGTAGTCGAAGAAGTACAACACCACTATCATAGAAAAAATAAGGGACAACAAGAAAAGAAATTTGAATACGAGATTCAAGATTCAGAACAAAGTTGATTAAAACAACATTACAACGATGTAATGTCCCATACACAGGTATTTTCCGGTATCCACCACTCTCTGGTACATTACTGTTTATTGGATTTAAAAAACAGGTAGACGCACACAACTATGACTATATTAAAAACTGGTTTGGTAAAAGACACTATGAGGATATAAAGAAACAAAATCGAAAACAAGATCAACAGAAGCAGTAACAGAAAACCAAGAACAAAATTTGAAATAGACACTTTACTGCGCTCTAAATCCATTAAAAAAATAAAATAAAATAACTGTGTCCTTAGTTTTTCCATTAGAAGTCATGAAATTAGCTAGAATAATTGAATGATTTAAGAACATGTTTTCTCTTGAGCTTTGAGAGTCGAAAATGAATTAAATACATATTGCACGTGGGGCTACTGTAGGGATATACCATAGTACACAAATCCAAAATTAAAATCACACATACATAAACAGTGGTGATTCAAATATCTCAGAGTGGACCCAAGACTATTTCCTTTCTATGCTCGAGCTTTGAACCTCCAAATCCTTTTCTTCGGATCTTACACTGGGCAAACATAACTTTTCAGAATCCATAGCTCTCACAGTAGTCCGAAACACTCACAACAGCGTTAAAATAATCGCATAGTTAAGTTCATGAAGGTTGCTGCTGCTGCTGTCTGCTGTTGTCCTCAATATTCGCCTGATCTCTTTCGTTTGTGATTCAACTTAGGTTATTAGTCAGACGGTAGCTAGTCGCTTCAGCTAACTTGTTCCTATCACTTACTAGCATAAAGCAATTGCCATGTTTCCGTAAGAAATAGTAACGGTGACTCCGTAAAAGCTATGACATCCGTTACCCTTGCATGGCTAGTAGCAACAATATTGATGAATGCGAATTTGTTTTTAGTTTATTGTTTAGGTGATTTACCGCTATATGAATCAAGATGGTGCCAAAAAACATTAACACATAGCAATGACAACAGGAACACTGATCAATTTGAATTAGTTTGGCATGCTGAATCACGTCGTAATGCCCAACAATGGATTAATTACGATGATGAGCAAAATCAAGTTAAATTTCTTACAGCTGATATAATATTTGATCAACTATTACAAGAAATGTTAAATTCGTGTATAAATACAATTAAAGGAAGTATGAATTCAACAAAATTGTCTACTGTTTAATATGTAGATTCACATTGTCAATGTTTTTTACGTATATTTTTTCGACAACCATCAGTTATTCCGTCCGTTGTGGTCTGCTTTACACGCAGCTCTTATGCCCATTTTATTTATGTATTTTTCTAGCTAGTATTCCTGCATTGATTAAAATTCTGCGAGTGTTACGAGAAAGAGGTATAAAAAATTGAAAAAAAATGTTTCTGAATGTGTTCATTCGTATGTGTGTTGAAAACTGTACTACTTCTCAAACTTTTACACTCTGAAACTTTAGAACGCTAGAGTAATACTGCCTGCTAAAACTAACCTACTTCGAACTTCAAATAAATAATCTTTAGTCATTTCGACTTTGTGAACTCAAGTTGAATCGGATAGTTCTAAGCAACAGTTCGACAGCACGTCGAAAACTGAACAAAATGGCTGATTTCGAACTACTCTCCGTTTCAAAATGGTTGGCACTCGGTTGCTTTTTGAATAACTTTTGATAGGAATGAGATAGAGACCTGCGATTTTCGCTGTTCAATAGCCAAGACTTGAGCAGAACTTTCCACGAGCGGAAGC